AAACTATACAATTTAACGTTAACGATTTCTAGCATGAAAATCCCGCACCCCAAACCCTAATACCCAATCCCCACACCCTAATCCCTAAAGCCTAATCCCTAAACCCTAATCCCTAAACGCTAATCCCTAAACCTTAATCCCTAAACCCCACGCCGACCCATGTCCAGACTCATGGCCTGCACCACCCCAAGATGGTGGGCATATGACCTATTACTATGGGTAAGGTTTAGGGGTTTAGGGTGTAGGGTTCTTAGGGTTTAGAGTTTAGTGTTCACGGTATCCCAGACTTGGCCATTCGCCTCCATTCCCAGAAGACACAGGAAACTATACACAAGGAACAGAAGTCTCTACCAGCATCTACTGTACTTGGAGGGTAGGGGGGACTTAGTAAAAGGTTACTGATGATGGGGATACCTGGGGCTGCGACATGGCTTATTGGGGTTGTAAGTACAATTGCAAAGTCCCCTTGATCCTCCAAGTAGGAAAACAGTTAACCCTAAACCCTAAAGCCAAAACCCGAAAGCCTAGGCTGTAAACCCTGAACCCCAAATCCTAAAGCCTAAGCCCTAAACCCTAAAGCCTAAACCCTAAACCCCAAAAGCCTAAATCCTAAACCCTTTACCCTAAACCGCCCACCATTTTCAATTTACAAATCCCACCCATCCCTAGCAGCACCTTTTGCTTCGCCGGCAAGCAGATTCCAGTTGAGTGGTCTTTTTGGATTTGGGGCTTCGGATTTTTGGGTTTTTGTGTTTTTGGGTTTAGGGTTTATGGGTTTAGGGTTTAGGGTTTTTGCGGTTTAAGGTGTTGGGGTCTAGGGTTATTGGTTTTAGGGTTTTTGGGTGGCTGTGCCGGCAAGCTTACCCTTCTCATCAAAAACTACTAGAAAGGAGGTAATCTACTTTAGGTTGGGCCCCCACGCAGTAATAGTGACCACAAAAGGTAATGGTAATCATTTTAGGGTCCTTATATATTTCTAGTAGACCACTGTTAGTGGCTGGGGGCCCAACCCAAAATCTAACTCTATAATATCCACATTGGAATTCGACCACTTGTGCTGGCATCCGCAAGACGTAGAGCTGCACGCTTGGCGAGCAGACGTTGGTTGATACTGCTTGTCATGCAAACCCTGCTCAACTTCAGACTTTATACCCCATAAGTGCACTGTCTAATCATAGCCCCCCCCCTCCCCCCGGACGCAAGAATTCAAGGTTTAATCTTCCCAAGAATCAATAGCCCCATTAACTAACCAACTAAATATTATGTTCTCGGGCAAGGGGATGTTCAAGATCAGGGAACAAAAAGCTCGGCAGGATTGGCATCGTGGACCATAGGAGGTTCCGTTGAAGCGCGAACTCTGTGACGCGAGGTTGTATTTCAGGGGTCAACCACGAGTTAACCCAAACTAGTTCTGAACAAATTTCCAAAGATTCACCGGCCGAAGCCCCAGAGCCTCTATTCAAGATTTGGTAATGACACATGACAATCCTTGTTATACGGGCCTCGCAGAAGGGGCTCCTGATTTTTGGAAGCTCTCAGAATAAGCCTCAACCCTAAACCCTAGACTCTGAACACCAATGTAATGTCCTTACCCGGAAGATCTCAGGGTCCAAGCTAAGCATGGGAATTCTCAGAGGCTCTTAGGGAATCTAGCGATATATAGCCATTACAACAGCATAACGAGATTTTTCGTGGAGATCATAGAAGGACTGTTTTCGTGAACTCCAGTGTGGGTATTCCTGACGTTGAAGGGGCCTTTGTATGGGATGCTTTGGACTCTCCACCAGCCGAATCGCTAATAGTAATTGTAATGTAGCCCCTCTGTGGATTGAGGAAATGTTGCACCACCATATCAACCTCATAGCGCCTCATGCCTCAGGAAGTACAATATGGGGGTCCTAAGTGGTGCGAAATTCCTGCCCATCATGATCTACTCTGTGTGTATGACTGTTAGTGGGTGAGGAGCGAACCCGGAGACACAATGAAACCCTAAACCCTAAAGCCTAAACCCTTAAACACTAAACCCACCGCAGTGTTCTTGAAGCTCCCTGTCGAGCTCTTGAAGAAGAGTCGTGTTAGTGGTTTGGGATTCAAAGTTTAGGGTTTAAGGTTTAGGTTAAAGCCTAGCTTTTCTGGACCTAGGTCAGGTTCTAGGTTATAGGTAAGAAGGACCATATGATCTGACCACAAATGGGTCCCAACAGTTTTCACCTCAGATAATACACACATCCAGTGTTCTTTTTATCACCCACTTTCTTGTACACTTCTTTCTACATTGTTCCAGCAGATCCCTAAACCCTCAACCCTAAATCCGAAACCCCCAACACTGAAGCCCTAAGCCTGAATCCTTGTTGTTGGGGTTGTGGAAAGACTTGGAGTTGCTGGCTTAGGGCTCCTCACGTCGCATGTAGGGGTCATCAGAAAGCATATGAACTATGGCCCCCTTAACAGTTGAAACTCCTAGTATCCCCCTTAATAACTCCTAGTATAGGATTTAGGGTTTAGGGATTAGGGTTTAGGTTAGAGTCTAAACTCCAAGTATCCTATATAATCCCCATTAGAACCCTGTCAAAGGAATTTAGACTATGCTCATATGGGGCACTCTCACAATGGAGCGGGGAGGAAAGGGACCCCAGGAAGCTGCAGTGATATTTGAGGAGTGTCTGCTAAACCCTAAAGCCATTGGTGGATTTTTTGACAATTTGAGCATCGATAGGGATTTGAGAGCTCCCATCCTAAACCCGAGGTTCCCTATGAGGATCCTGCTTACATCACAACGCACCTGGTCGCAAAGCCCGAGCTTCAGACTCTGAATGAGTGCAACCTAGAAATTGAGCATTGTTCTGGGAAAGCTACCTGCCCATGCCTCCTGTTGAGCTCTAGCCACTTACCCCAAACCCTAAATTCCATGTAGCTCTCCTACACGGGTTATAAATGGTTGTGGAAGCCATGGCGGGTTTAGGGTTTGGAGTTTAAGGTGCAGATTGGGGTTTAGGGTAGGCTGTAGGGGTCAGGCCTCAAGGCTTGTGCTTGAAAAACAATATTAATATTAGTATCAGTATTAGTATGAATAGTCATATTAATATTAGTATTCATATTAATTAGTATTAATATTCATTAGTATCAGTATTAGTTACAAAGTATTTTCCCTTTCCCACTCCACCTTAAGTAGCTGCAAAAGTGAAGTACGGCAACAGGAGGTCCGAGTGTCTTCAGCAGCAAAAGAAAAACTCCTTGGTGCGTAGGGTGGAATGATGGACTGGATCCATGTGAGCCTACAATAGTGCATGTAATGGCCACTTCTGCAATTGATAGGCAAGCCCCCATAATCTCTTGATAATTCCCGCATACCCCTAGGGTCTTGCATGCCGTGTGTGCTCAAGAAACCAGGTGTATTTCAAGCAATAAACCAGCATAACCCGTGTTGTCAATCTGGCTATGAGAGGGCATATAGGGCTATCAAATGGAAAAGCAAATGGAGAATGAAAAGGAAACCGCTAGAGGGAAGCCCCTAAGCCCTAAACCCTAACCCATCGACCCAACCCTAAACCCTACTATTCCCTGCTAAGCACCTGGAGAAAAAGCTGCGCTGGCCGTCACTTTGTGATCAGCTCTTCGGGCGCGAGTACGCTTTCAGGCACACCCTGGGGATTATCAAGTAATCAGGAGACATGGAAGCTACTGTTTAGGGTTTAGGGTTGTAGGCTTTAGGGATATTATCCTCCAACGATGAAAAACAAAAACGGGAAAATGACATTCAAAACTAGTGTAATCTTCAGGGTTTGGGATTGTTATTCTGGGTCTGAGATGGTCTAGGGTTTACTTGTCACGCTAAAGTATTGGGCTATTTAGGGGTAAGGGCCAAGTTTAGGGTTGAAGTTGGGAAAATTGCACCCAATAATGCAAAATCAAATAGAAAAACGGCATGGAACGTGAAATGCAAGCTGGGATTATACAGTGTAGGGATTATGGTTAAGGCTTACCCGTACCCCCCTCCCCACAGCTTTATGGGCTGTTCCTACTAATCAAGGGGTAATACCCCTAAACCCTAAACCCTAAACCCTAAACCCTAAACCCCTAAACCCTAAACCCCTACTAAGCTGTAGGCTGTTGGTGTTACAGGCATGGTTTAGGGTGGCTGGGGGGTGAGGGCAAGTGGATTTCTGAAAACCGCGGGCATCCTTGAAGCCCTCGAGAGGGTTTAGGGTTTAGGGCTTAGGGTTTAGGGTTTAGGGTTTAGGGTTTAGGGGGGGGGGTTGTCTTTCAGGATTGTGTATGGCTAACTTTGAGGGCCACATAAATATTCCTGATAGGGTTGTAACAATACAGGGGTTATATAGGGAGAATGGAAAAGAAAATGGAAACTACCATTGCATATACGGAATTATAGAAATATATGTGAATCATGGTAAAGACAAAGGAAGCTACCATATTATAGAGTTTACATACTATGTTACATACTGCCAGAAATCCACGAGTGCCAGGGTCCCTTGAAGCGTGACATTGTGCGTTCAAGTCGCGAGCGTCTGGGTGGATCCACCCTGACACCCTTAGCGGTGGAAAATTCAAAGCACCAAAAGACCTACTTGGAGGTTCATGGGACTTAGTATCTACTTAGAATCAATAAACTTATGACCCTTCTCTTTGAACTGGGGTAACCGCTATAATTTGATTTAGCGGAAATAGAAGTAGGGTTGTAGGCCCTATCATAAAAAGCTACTAAGTCCCAAAGAACCTGCAAGTAAATCCTGCCCTCAGCCTCTACAACGAGGGGTTGACATAGGCCTCCCGAGCCAAGAGCCCCCCAAAACCCAAACTCTTGCGGCCGCAAGTGATCAACGACTACAGGGGAACATTGGGGCCGATTCTGGCCTTGGGCTCGAAAACCAAAACCCTGAACCCGGGCTCCCTTTTAGGGTTTAGGGTCTAGGGTCTAGGGTTTAGGGTTTAGGGTTTAAGGTTTAGGGTTTAGGGGCCTTTATCAACCCCTTGCCTGCAGGTTACGCTTCCATAGTCAAAGTCTGCTTTGGCCGACTGCTCTGCTGTACTCGTCTAAGAGCCATCCTCAGCTTGGCAAGATAAGGGTTTGAGGGTTTCGGGTTTATAGTCCCCCTTAAGTAGATAGAATCTGGGGTATATGAGGATCTTAGTAAAAAATACCCAACGCCATATTATATCTACTTAAGGGGGACTTTAGGTGTTTCGAATTTTGGGTTCAGTGTCTAGGATTTAGGAGTGGTTTAGGGTTTTGGGGTTTTGGGTTTAGGAGTTAAGTGTCCAGGATTAAGGGGTGGTTTAGGGTTCAGGGGTTTAGGGTTTAGGGCTTTAGTGTCTTGAACTTAGGATTTGGGGGTTTAAGGGTTTAGGGTTAAGGTTCAGTTCTGAGGATTCAGGATTTAGGGCTTGGGGGCTTTACACAAAATACATGGGACATTGATTTATTATCCGGCAATAGAAGATCAAATGGAAACTGCGGCTGAATTAAGAATTTGGGCTTTAGGGGCCTTCATTTCAGTTGGGTACTGACGCCGGCATGTTGACAACCGATCATGCGCTCATGCGCAGGGACGTTTATTGCGATATGTGAATATTTGGATGCTACACACGGTCTGGGTCTACTCAATGGTATATATAGTCCTTAACGCACACCCGCAAGGAATCCTCTTGACAGATCCTCTGAACCCAGGAGTTTACACCCATGACATCATGAGGACTAACAATCATCTCCACCCGAGCGTAGAGCCCCAGCCCCCGACATCCCAGCATAGTACCTCTATCCAATGGGAACGTTTGCTCTTTTTGTTGACACTTCCTCTGATTGTCTGACTCATCAGCATCCTTGTTGTTGCCAAACCTAGGGACACACATGTAGCACGGCTTAAGATTTAGGACTTTGGGGTTTCATATTTATATATATATATGTATAGAGGGAGAGAGAGACAGGGAGGAAGAGAGAAAGCGCGATAGCGAGAGCGAGAGGGAGAGGGAGAAGAGAGAGAGAGAGAGATAGAGACAGAGAGAACAGGTAAACTAAACTCCGAGCAGCCAAGAAGAAACTTCACGACATGTATCAGGCCCGGGCAGCGAAGAAAGAAACATGATTAATGCCTGCAGGCGTGTACCCTGAACCTGACAAACTAGGCCCTGAGTCCTAACCCTCTACATCATAAGGAGAAGATCTTATTCTATGTTGGGCTACGGTATCCACAGTCAAAAAACTGCTCACATGGTTTAAGGCTTCTGGTTCAGGGTTCAGGTCTACGAAGCGCTTATGAAAACGGTGATTTTTTGGACCGTCGAACCAAGTAAGATTTGGTTCTTCCTATAGAACACGATATAGGAAGGAACAGGATCCAACTCTTCCCGAATCCAAAACCCCAAGCCGCATACCCCTGTTTTAAGTAAGGTTATAACCCAGTTACCAGTAAGTCCTAAACCTTATGAAGCTCCAACCCTTAAACCTAACCATATATCCCTATGTCCTACCCAACCCCAATCCTGAACCCTAAGCTGAAATCTCCTCAACCCTCAAACTTCCAGCCTCAACCCTTAACCCCTGACTCTAAACTCTAAACCCTAAACGATAGACCCTCGACCTTGAACCCTAAACCATAAACCAGGTCCTCATGGAGATCTAAGGCACATGGAGTCTTTCAGCTGCTGCATCTCTCCCTCCATATACCTCGGCATCCCCTGTTTAGGATGTCTATGTATGTACATATGTATATACATATATATATATACATAGATATCTATATGTATATACATATAAGGGTTATATTGGGGTTATGTAAGTTATGTTGGGTTAAAAAGGGATATTGGAAAAGCAAATGGAAGCTACTATTTTGGGTTCAGGGTTTAGGGTTTCAATGTTGTGTGCGAAGGGGGTGCTGGAAAGGATGCATGAAGGCTCTGAAAACTTGTGATACCATTTTGAGGTCCTTATACTTGGGGTTGTAATATTTTGGAATCTATATTGGGTTCCCCCTATTTGAAAGCCCGCGTATGAGGATACTCGAGATCCAACCGTGAAAGCAAACTGAACATGAAATGGAAACTGTGTTGATACAGAGGTTATATAGAGCTTACTGGGCATACTAATACGAATTTCGGTTACCAAGACGCAAAATGACGACCCAATGGCTATCATAACACTCTTATAGGCACCTTGCAACAGGGTTGGACTTTTATTGATCCATTATGACTCCCTTCCCCCCTTCTACCATCCAAAGTCCCGCTTACTTAGCCTTAAGTACCCTAAACAAACATAGCAACCCTGACGCCTGGACCGTCCACCCTCCATCCACAACTACAAAGAGGTATGCTTAAGATAATGAAGGACGTAGATGTAGAAGAACCATAAGGCGAGCATAAGCGCTGACAACACGCAACTTTTTCCATGCGGTACTCAACATTCACGATGCCTTAGTTCATCTCTTGCTAGATCTAGAGAAGCATGCTATGAAACACGAATGGTATAAACTGCAACTATATGAAACTACCCTGGTCATCAGCTGAGTCTACCGAGTGCTAGCTCTAAACCCCAAAACCCTAAACTCTAAAGCCCTCAACCCTAAACCGGGCCTAAACTCCTCAACACCGAACCCTAAACTGTAAACCCCTACAAACCTAAACCGTAAACCCCTAAACCCTAAGTCCTAAACCCTATACCATGGAAACGCAGAAGCTTGAGATCCCAGCTCGGCAAAGAGCTATGGCTTGGAGCAACAACTTACCAACTGCTAGCAGGGAATAGGGTTTAGGGTTTAAGGGTTTAGGGTTTGAGGGTTAAGGGTTTTAGGGTTTACGCTTTTTAGGTTTAGGGCCAGTTGAGGTGTGAGTCGATGCTTCAGGGAATGGAAAACACAAATGAGAACGACTAACCTATCGGGGGACGATAAAGGGGGCACTACCAAAAAAAAATCCTCCCCACCCTAGATCGTGTACTATGGGGGCCTAAATCATTACCAATCTCATTTTGAGGTCCATTTGAGGCCCCGTATACTATAATTATATACAAGGAGTATGGAACCATAGTATTGGTAACCAATTAGGCCCCTATATTAAGCCCAATCCAACGCTTGGGGGTCGAATTGCTTGGTACTGCTGGCTATGGAGCTCCATTAGTTGGCTCTACTGTGGGGTTTAGGGTTATAGTCCCCCTTAAGTAAATAGAAGCGGCATATGGGGATCTTATTATAACATGCCCAAAGCCATATTCTATCTACTTAAGGGGGACTACCCTAAGCTACGTCAGATTTCCCTCCACCCGCGGTAGGATTGCGGGCTGGACTGCCAAGAGAACGGTTCAGGGCTTGGGGCTCGGGACCCGAAATTCTCAACGGAACCCTATACTACCCTACATACTCCCCACATCATCCCTACATAACCCCTAAAAAACCACCATAATTGATGTAGTTTCCCTTGTATTTTCCATCATCTCAATATAACCATTCTCAATGGGAGATACTTGGAGAAGCTAGGGGGCCTGTGAAGCCAGGGGGCTTCTGTGCTGGAAAAGAAACATTGTGGTTACCACATGTGGGCTCATAGGCTTCGTTGTTTGTTTTTCTGAATGCAAGCCCGAACGGAAAAAAGATGCGGGCTACATGCATTGCCATAATTACCATCATGGCCGTGAATTAGAATTCACAAGCCGATCACATCTATACCCGAATCCTCACCAGAAAGACTGCGCCTTAACATGACGGACTTCGACGCAAAATCCTCGAAGTGGCATGCTGGCATCGATCTAGGAGATCCGAACATACCCCAGCTACACACCCATAAAGCCAAACCCGCTGTTGTTCCAGAAGCCCGCGGGGTGATACTTGCTTGGAACCGAGTTGCGTGTGGAACTTGCCCTGAGATCGGATCAGCCAATTCCTAGGTGCAGGGCCCTCGCAGGGTTAGAAGGCCCACGGCAATGGCAATTCAACCTCAAAAACATGAGCATACAGCCTGGGGACGATACTGGCAATTCTTCAGGCCATGTTGCGGGGGAGCGGTTGAACGCTACCTACACATCTATAAAGCAGTACGCGCTGCCAGTTGCCTTTTCCGAGTACCTTCTGGTTGTTGTAGATTACCGGATAGATTTAGGAGCCCCACAGAAATCCAGGTCGTCTGCATTTTATAAGGTTAGATGGGTTATGTGGGGATTATGGTCCATAACAATGAAAAAGCGCAGGGACTACCCCAGACAAGGCAGACAAATTTGGTAACTCAAACCACCAAAATCGTGGGACCCTGTTGTAACGATACGAAAGCTGTGGGGTCCTAATGTGAAGGGGTTATGGGAACTAAAACCACCTGATTATATACTTCCACGTTACTAACTGGTTCTGAGTGGGAACATGGGCATATATTAAAAATGGGGATTATGGGTGGTTGTCAAAATTATGTTCCCTTTTTGGGTACCCTAAATATTAGGTGCCGTATTATAATAGGGATCCAAAAACGGACCATAATTTGACAACCACCCATATAAGTAGGATTATGTTCACCTGTTCCCTCCTATGAGCCAGTAAGATTAGACGAGATCCGTCCCCCAACTCCCTGACACGGTCGAGTCTGTGAGGCCCCAACTCTCTTCGTTCCATAACCCTGGGGCTCCCAATCAGCCATAGTCTAAACTCCAAGTCTCCCCCTTAATATCCCTTGTGGCAGTCTCCTATCTTATCCTTTATATAACCCCTTTAAGGAGTTTAGATTGTGGCTCAAATAACCCAATGTAGGTCAAAATTATAGACTTTGGGGCCCAATGTAGCCACTGTTTAAAGACTTGAAGACCCGGGGTGAGGCTCCGAATAGCCCAATGTAGGTAACGTTTCTCCATTGTACTTGCTGGCTCTTAGAAGGGAATAAGGGAATATAGTCCTATGTAAGCCCTATATGATATAGTCTCTTTTTCCTTACTAAGAACGAATAAGTTTAGGGCCAGATGTAGTTATCAGTTGTAGACTTGGAGTCCCAATGTTTTAGTGCCGTACAGGGAATATGGCTTTGGGAATAGGGTTTCGGCGCTGCGAATGTTATTCATGCTAGAGGGTAGTACACGAAAGACCTTGCTGAGCGGCTGCTCGTGGATGATTCTCTGGATGTCCATTGCGGAAGCCTGACACGATTCCATTCGAAGTTGTACATTCCACAACCCCTAAACCTAAACCCTAACCTTATCTACTCTGGCTTTTGAGACCAAGACCCCCATGATTGAGTCATCATTGAGGGTCACCAGGACTTTCCTGTCTCAACCGATTTCCAGCCGCTCTAAATATTCCCTTGTTAAACATGATGCTGATAATCCCCTCCCCATCGTGTTAGCAACCCTCCCTCAACGCCTGATAGTAGGCGATTCCAGACCAGGTTCCCCAGTAAACCCTAAATAATGAGGGTACCCTTTTTCCTACTGTTCTGTTTTAATAAGGAGACCCCCAAATAAAAAGGGTAAAAAAGTACTACTGGGGTACCTAGTAGAAGAGCTTGTATACATTTAATGGGAGGAAGACACAAGCTGTGCTTTGGGTTTGGGAGGGGCCTTCTACATCCGGGTGAGGTGGTTCTGTTGATGCTCAAACACTGATTTCCTTCTCTTTACACGAATACCGCACCTTTCAAGGCATTAGACACTGAGGGTCATGCGGGATTTTTACTATCAACCATGGGTGGCTGATCTAGGTTCAGTACTGCCCCCCCCTTCAATAACAGTTGGAGAATAATCATAATATGGTTTTATATAGCCCTTAATAGGACCCCTAAACCCTAAACCCTAACACCTAAGCCCTTAATAGGACCCCTAATACAGACTGTTACTGGGTGGGGGCAGAACCCAAGATCTAGGTTTGTCTTGTGCCTTGTGCAGCTTCTGACTTGATCCGACGCAGCATCGGGGGGCAGGGGGGAGGGGGTGTCTCAAGTGCCGCTTTCAGGCAACAGGATTAGGATTTAGGTGCAGTAAATCTTAAACCCCAAAAAGTAGATCCATAAACCTGGAACCGTAAAAAGTCAATCCCTAAACCTATAATCCTAAAATCCAAACCCCAAAAAGCCAAGGCCTTACATTCCTCTGTCCAAGCCTTGGCAGTTGTTTGTAGAGAATGAAGCCATAAAAAAAATGGGAACTACCAGATAAAGGGGGAACCTAGGGATGGGCAGTATAGGGGAACCCATGGTTTAGGGTTTAGGGCCTAGGGTTTAGGGGTTCTGGCTTTGGGCTTAAGGTTCAGGGTTTAGGGCTTGAGGCAGGGAATGAAGCTGCGGAAATGGAAAATGGAAACCACTATACAGAGTCTAGGCCGTTGGCTATTGAATGAAGGATGAGGAAAAAGAACATGGAAACTGGTTTAGGAAACTATGTGAGCTATAGTCTAAACTCCTGATACCCCCCTTAATTACTAACCCCTATAGCTGCCCCTATATAATCCTTTCTATAACCCCCTCTAAGGAGTTTAGACTACAGTTTATGTACGAGCTCCCAAAGGTGGAGCCGGAAGAATGGAAGGCAATGGCACGCATCTCTATGCCAAGGGCTTTCCGCAAGTATCGTGTAAATCCATGACACGATTGCTTCCGATATCAACGCCATTAATTTGTCGTGATGTCCGTCATTCCCTTGGATTCCTTTTTGGGTTTTGCTTGCTACGATTGACAATACGATTGCTGCTAGCATAGCCCAAGCCCAAGCCCCAAACCCTCTACTTTCACGTGTCGCTATACCGATGACCGAGAAGCAATTTGGGGCAAAGCAGGGGACACTACACTTTAGAAAATGCCCAAGCCCTGAACTCTAAACCCTGACGGTTCTGTGGCAAGCGCCTGACCGCGCAGGCGCAGGCATCCCATCAAGAACTCTTCCACTTCGATCTGACAGGAAGATGGCGGCAGTAGGAGGAGTAGGAGGCGGAATAGGGGAAGTTAAAGGGCACTACAAAGGAGACGAGGAGGAGGACAAGCAGCAGCAGCAGCAGCAGCAGCAGCATCAGCAGCAGTAGCAACAGCAGCAGCAGCAGCAGCAGCAGCAGCAGCCGAAGTGGCTGCGGCGGCGGTGGCGGGTGGTGGTGGCGCGGGCATTGTTGCTGCGGACAGGACGTGGGCAGTGCTCAGGATATCGGTCGAAGGGGGTGAGATCTTCAGGGAGGCGGGTATGGCGTGCAGGGTGGTGCGTGGAATTTAGGTTGGGATGAAGGCCCCGAGCTTTGGAGTCTGGCGCATTGGGCTAAAAGAGGAGGTTGGAGGGCTTTGCCAGGCCTTCTAATCGGGACCATGTTTTTCTGTATTTAAAAACATTATAGCGGACAACCATCCTGACACAAAGCCATACTCACCGGTGTTTACAACAAAGCTCGGTACAATCAATCCTTCTGGCCCTACCCTAAGCAACCAAACTTTAACACTAAACCCTACAAGCCCGATGTCCGAAGCACGAAACCCTGGGCCCTCGACTCTAGCGCGCTTAGAAAGGAATGAATTCTAGGAACATGTCACGCAACACACATCCCCTTCACCGTACGCCAAAGAAGGCATTTCCTACTAAGCACGACTTGTATCGCACTTTCCCAAAATCGAGGGACCCCAATATAGACCTCAAAATTCTGCTGTCCTTATTATAGGGACCCCAAAGA